TATCACTTTACTCTATGAAAATCCTTGGGGCAGACTATTTATATTTACAAAAGATATCACTGTACTGTTGTGGTAACACTGCTGTTTATATATTTCTTTGACAGCACCATACTTTGAGGTTCATCAGCCTACGGTGCGTGTCTACACCTCCTCTGTGTATGAAGGGGTTCGGAAGGACCGTGCCAGCTTCTACATGCCAGTCAGTAATACCAACCAGTCCGTGCCAATTGGAGGAGATGTGAAAATTGAATTTTTCAACAAGTCCAAGATAAACAAGAAGGTTTGTACATTTTATTTTCTGTAAACTTTGACTTTTTTTCTGGCTTTAGCAGGATTGCACTTGATGTGGTACTTGTAAGTTACGTTATTTAGGAAGTAGGCTGCTTTGAATCTGCCTGTCAGGGTCCACTGTTAAAAAAGCAGTACTGTGAAAATGATGAAGTATATGCTTTGATTTTAGGTTTAAGTGTGCTTTTCTGAAGTGGAACCTACTCAAGCAGCCACCTTTACCTGTATAAATAGCCACCTCCCTTTTCCTCCTTTGAGTATTTTTTCCCATAAATTATGAAACCGTGTAAGATGGCCACTTTTCTCCTCTACGATGGTTGGATGTCTACGGCAGTTTCAACTATTTATATGTACATTTTGGGAAAAGAAGGTCAAGTTTTAGGGTTCCCTTGTGCTTTTAGTTTTCTGTACTTTTTTAAAGAGCATTTTGCAGACAGTATCTTTTTGATAATTTCAGAAAAATTTCATCTTGTATGATTGGTTTTCACCAAAGTCATAAAACATTGCATCTTTTTTTTTTTCTAAAATTTAAAAAAAATATAGCAATAGTATTGTTTGCTCTGTTTGTTCATTGTTTTGTTGGGTGGGAGTGTATGCTTGTCCTATATGGACAGTATTTCTCCAGTAGATTCTATATTTCTTTGCAGGAAAAGATGTTCCACTTTTGGTTTAACACTTTTTTTGTAAGAGACCATGAAAGGCTTCAACAGAATGGAGCTGTAGGCAGCCACTATGACAACAACGAAGTTCTGTCTCTTACTCTGCCGAAAATGGAATTAGATCGAGCTAACAAGGACAAATCACATAAATTGTTCAGTCCAAATTTCAAGGTGAGAATCAACTTGATGAAACATAAAATGTTAATATCAAGTTCAATTGTTTTATCTTCCTGGGTATGGGATGGGGTTTGATGTCTTATATATATGTATATACAGTAGTCTCCGCTTAAGTTCCCAGTGCTTGGGAGCAGGGAAAATGCGAGATCTGAGGCGAAACGGATCTTGGCCAATTAATTACTGGGAGAATTCACAGTGATTCATGATCAGCCCCACAATTGGTAAGATGATTTCCTCTTACTTTGAAATGAACCGATGGAGCCCCTCTGTGGGTTTATGACTTACGGCGAGCGAGTGGTTAACCTTGATGACCAATCACAATGGCATGAGACATGCCATTTTCATTTATCCAGTCGTGAGTTTCAAGATCTACGTCGATTCCATTGCTCCTCCCTTTATTCTGTCCAAAATTTTAGCTTGCCATCTCTGACCAAGTTCCTTGCTCATGTCATAACACACCATTGTGTTGTGCCCGCACCAATTAAAATCCAGTTAGTTTTGGGAATTTGGGCATAGAGATGAAAGACAACTGCGATTGTTATTGAAACAAAGCATTGACCAGTTCACAGCTCAATGTAATCCAGTCTAATGAGGCCCTCTAGGCCCTACCCATCTAGTGTTTGGTGCAAGTTCAGAAGATAGGCTCAAATGTGAGTGTGGTGTTTCAAGGAAACAAACACATCAAGTTTAAGTATGATTCTTTCTGGGGCATAAAACATTGCACCTACTAATCGAGATTTACAGCGGAGATTTGATGCGATGTCACTGCTGGGGTGATGAGCTGTATTTGCTTGGGCTTTTGTACCTGAAGTCATGATCTGAAACATGGGATCTTTGCCGAATGTAGTCTTTCAGAGTGGGATCTTAGGAGTGACTTTTGTGCAGTAAAAATTATGTTTTCTATAAACAGCAGGATCGTAAGCTAACCATGATCGAAAGTGGTGAGATCTGAGACAGAGACTACTGTATATATTGTCTAAGTCTTATCATCTTTGTTTGATTGAACTGCAGTGCTCTATGTCTATGAATGCTTTATCCATCAGCATCCCTCACAGTTCAGTGTGCTTTCTCTAATTCATTTTTGTCAGAGACAATTGTTTTAACTGCTGAAGATTTTGTCTAGAAATAATTAAAGTATGTGGATGGTTGTGGGGTGCTCTGGTGTGGTCTACTCTTTCTTTTCCTATGAAACATCTATTGTACTTATCTCTCGAAAAACTTCTAATCTTCCGCACTTATACTTATTTGACCTATTAATGTTACAATGGCTGTAAAACTCTTACTAAAATTTACTCTAAATTAAAAAGTAAAGTCATATTCAACATTTAGAATGAAGGAGAAGGCAGCCATTTGAAATGTTGACATGTCGTTGAGCAAGGGGGAGAATTGATAGGATAGCAAGCGTAATGAGTTTTGACATCTCAAAAACGATCTTGGTAAAATATTATGTGAGTTTCTGAATCTCAAACTAGGTGTTGGCCTTGGTAAGATAAGTGTTATCAAGGCCTCTCTGTTCAAAGTGATAAAGCAGATAACAGCCATCATAGCGACTCTCAGGGTATCGTCTGTCCCTGTTGCGTACTGTCTGTCTGCACAATCAAACGGTGATAAAAGATCATAGTGGATAGAGATTAAACTTTATGTTTATGTTTTGCTACAGCTGAAATCCGTTCTGACAGGAATGATTGAACTTCTGCAATGCTTTTGTAAACATCTAAAGGGTTGATGATTTAATCATTTTTTAGAAGAAAAGGAGTGTAAGATCTATGAAGACCAGGCCTCTGTCTGATCACTCATGTCATGATATCTTTACTGCTCTGTTGCATTTCTCCAATCTTTCCTAATCTCAGGCAGTATTCATTATCTGACACATTCGATTAGCTCATGATTGTTACTTGTTGGGAATTAGATTTTTTTTTTATGACATCAAATTTTCTTAAGGTTTGAACTGAACTGATTTATTGTGCGTGGAAAACATTCAGTTTCAACAAAAAGTCCCATAATGTCAAATTTTAGGTGTCAGTGGAAAGAAAAATGAAATGACAATTACAATATGAGTAAAACAAATACACACTTCTTGGTTTTGTGGGGTTTTTTCTTACTGTAAACTATTTGAATTTGGATGCTCTACAGTCCTGTGAAATAAGAGGAAACTTTGAACAAGTGGATATTGGATATTCCCATCGATTAAGAATTGTTTTTTCCAAAGTAGCCCCCAAACAATGATTTTTCTACTGCGTTCACCTTCAAGGTTAGTTCAGTTTTTTCAAGAACAGTTAATCTAGACAGGCGTGCTTTTCTGTATATCAAGTTTCTGTCGTAATTATGTTTGCCATCTTTGGGTCTTTTCTGGTTGGTTGTTTTTTTTTTGTCTGTGTGTATATATGATTTTGTAAGAACTCTTTATTTTTCCCTGTTTGACACAGGTGAAAGTCTATTTTTCACCTATGCAAGAAGGTAGCAACCTTGAAAGAAGTAAGAGTGCTGACGACATGATGAACGACAGGCACAATGTTCACCCGATACGAGGGCCTTTCCACACGCCTGCTACGCCCAACTTCCTGCACCCGCCAAATTCCCAGCCGCGTGTCAAAGGCTGGTCTTCTCCTTCATCACCCACCACATCCAATGCTCTGCCTATTGCGTCCCCAATTGCCGCGTCCCATCACCCATCCTCGCCGCAGCTCCCTGTTGTCAGTAAAATGGGCTCCAGTGACCATGCAGGCTTTGCAGACCGAAGCAACCAGCACCACCATCACCTGTTGATGCCCCTGGACGTGGGCAAGCAGGTGAACCCCCCAGCACCTTTGGCCCCTGCTCAAGCACCGAAGGTGGTGTTCCGGGGAGGGGAAGGCTCTGACACAGGCTCAGCAGGAAGTGCAGAAGGGGCATCGTGGGGCTACAGCGACAGTGAGGCCCAGGATGACCTCTCAGATACTGAGTCGGAGAACGAGTGGGAAGACTGTGAGACCACTCAGGTATGACCCCAGCTGCTGCCGCTGCTTCTCCTGTGGCTTTCTGAACATCTGATGGGCTACCCTGGGAGAACCTTGTCCACACAGTGTCTCATCGACTGTGAAATGTTATGCCATCAATTTAAGTGAGGGTTACGTGACTGAAAATGAAACTCCCCAAGTCACACGGAATTGTCAGTTTAAGTTTGAGTGGTGTAGATGTTTCCAGTCAGAGAATTCAGTATGTTTTTAATTAATGAACGTGAAAATGGTTCTTATCTGAATTGTAGTTTGATTAATTTTGCAGCTTCATTCTCTGTGAACTAAGCCTTATTTCATTATGATTTATCAATGTACATAATACTGTGTTTTTGTGGATCACGCGTATGATGACTGAGAATGAGACGTGTATAATGATTCTGTGGTCTGCTATACGGGAGTGTGTATGGAAGTCTGAGAAAAGGTTTGATGTTTGAATACTTCCACCTGGCGACTTGAGAATATTAGTGGACTAAAACGTGATGAGATTTGTCATCTGTTTTGAGTATGATATGTTCACATGTTCCAAAGAGGAGAATGTCTTCTATTTTCAGCTGGAATGTGAACCGAGAAGAGAAGTTTGTATGGAGCGTTCTGTGACATTCTGTGAATAGTGTTATGAAATGTGTCATATTGTGTTAAATGGTGCTTTGAAGTCAACAGAATTTTAATGTAAGATGCGAGATGCACAACTGATAGATTTAAAATGTCTTCCAAGTTGTGAGTGTACTGGTGTCAGTAATTATACACAGGGATCTTCACGCAGAGCTTGGAATGTTGTATGTAAACCTTGTCATTTCTGTTTCCAGAAACCTGTGGTGTTTTTCGTTTCCACTTTCAACATCAAGGTGATATGTTTGTAGTAACATAAATGTATGTTTGGGGGGGGGGGGGGAATTTTTTTTTTTTTAACCCAGTCCTCAATAAGTATCCCACTAGTCTGCTTTACCTCTAAAAAACCTATAACTTTCTTTTCCTGCTCCTCGAACAAAGCGATCCTATTCTTTGCCATGCATTCTTTGAAACTGCAGTTTAAAATTCACAGACGTGTGTGCAAGTTAAGGAAATATTTAGGACTCTGTAAATACAGAATGTTCAAGTCTTTGTGTCTTGTACACCAGCTAACCTTGGTGGTGTGCAGGTGATATCAACATTTCTTTGGCTTTGCTTGTGTTTTGGTCTTAGTAAACTGTTTTTGACTCTTGGGTGCACTCCTGTCACAAGTATTTAGCATGACTGTACTATAGGCAAGTTTCTGATGGAGGGTTTATTGACATCTTAGCTTTTTGAAAGCAAAGAAGCTGACAATACTATAAATAGCTTCCAATGACATATAGACAACAAATATTGGATTATGGCCAGTTATACCATGGACAAAGTTGATTCTGAGTTTGTTGGCCCTAGCTGACTTCGTAATAGCATTAGTACAAGACACTTAACGTATTGATTGTCTGTTCTCACCAACGGATGTTCAGAGATTTTTCTATCATGTTTTGACTGTAGTACATGGCCATAGTGAAGAGACATTTAGTGTTCTGTGTGTGATAAGTCTGCCACTCCGGATGATGAGTGAGTTTATGGCTAATGGCGCCTCTTAACTTGAATTACTCCATGCACCAGTGCCTTAAGCTCTTTCCAAGTTTGTTGAAACGAATTGTTGAAAGTCATAGATACAGTCACTAGAAAGTTTAAGCAGTAGGCACAAGGTTACTCATATAAAGTTTTGCTTTAAGTGAGCACCAATCTGCTGTCAGCGATATTGATGGTTTTATAAGTTGTCCAGTAGCCAGGGCAGAAAAGCTGACCTTTTAAGGGAGATGTTTTTGATTGGGCATAGTATACCTGCTTAGCTCCTTATACTTGACAAGCCACTCTCACAGGCATACTGTTGGTACAGCCGTGTTGGTGATCCACTGTCAGTGACTCCATCAGGCAAATTCTGTTTCTACGATGACAAAATTATATTAATTTTTGGAAGTTGCCTAAAATAGGTCTCCAACCAGGGGTTCTTTTCATTAGGTGAAGAAGTATCAAAATAGGTT